CACTGCTCCTCCCACTGCGCTTCCCGCAACACCCCCACTTTTCTAATCGACAAATCGGTTGTGTTGGTCCTTCATCAACGCGAGCTGGTCGCGCCTCTTGTAAGGTGAGTCTCTGGTCCCCTTACGGAAGGACTCTACCAGGCGGTTCAAGTCTGCAGGAGTCTGAGCATGCAGAAAGTAATCGAACCTCGCGACCATGCCTCACCTACCGCTATAGCGTCGAGCACGCCCAACGCAGCCTGCAGGGCGGAGCGATGTTCTCCAGCTGAGCTATGAGATGGTAGGAAGTCTAATGGGGACTTGGCTATAGTACTGAAAGGCACAGTGTGAGCGTCGCAAGGACCATGAACAAGCATGCCCCCATGCTAAAGACTTTGACAGCAAGTCCAAGAGAGGCGCTTGTTAACTGCACTCACAGCCACTTCGATCGTCTCGAAGAGCCTTGATATTACTTAGCGAGCTTTGATGCTTTCCAGACCCCCTCCCAGTCATCCATGCGCAGTTGGTTCCAGCTTAGCTTATCCTCTTCTATGTTGCACTGGAGCAAGGGCTGCCGCCGCCGTCGATGATGATGATGATGGTGGTGATGCTCATCCGCCTTTTCTCGGGCCGTGAGCCGGGGACTTGGTCGGCTCTCGAGGCTTGCCATTGAAAAGACTGGAACCAAATTCCCATCATCCATTATCAGCAACCCCCTCGGACTCAACACGATCAGATAGGAAGGGGAAAGGGAGGTTGAACAGCCCAGCGAAGTCGTCGAGCCAGAGAAGCAGACCTATGCTGCTGCCATCGACAGCAGTGCGGGAGAATATGTACATGGCCAAGTACATGTGTTGGCGACAAAACGGAGACGCTGAAAAAACTATGGCAACTTACTATCGGCTGAACTTCTATAATTCGCGAGAAAATTCTTGAGCTCAGCTGAGGGAAGAGAATATATATTCCGAAATTGACCAAGAGTATAGCACCCGGAGCGCCTCCCTGTACCTCTACAACAATGGAAGAAGCACAGATGGTACGATAGCGAATGGTGCCTAAGGGAGGCAGTAATGGTCATTCTAACAGCAGCTAACGCAGCGGCAACAGTAACAGCAACCGAGATCCTCATGTGCTCGTCAGCTCTACACACTACCCTTAAGACAATAACACTGCGCCGGGTCCAGCCTTGAGCGTCGGGCAGGAGACCATACAATAAAATAACACCCAAACCTACACGGCGGTCGGATACATTGTGGAGGAGGATGTAATGAGCTGAGGAGAAACATTCGGACATAACACAAGTCGAATAGGACAGACCAGTAAGTGTCCATAAGATGGTATGAGCAGTATCATCAGCAACGGTGCTTCACCTCACAACCTTGCACACTACGTCATCCACACGGCGTCGTTAATTCAACAATCACGTTCACCTCCCAGGGCCTCTCAGCAGCCTCGCTAATAGAGGGGTCGACGATGCCTTGGGCTTGGCTTTGATATGTCCTCTAAGGCCCCCGGCACCTCCCGGCTTCACACGCGGTACAGTATTCCGGCCCAACCGAGGTTTTACTCGTCTGTGTTCATGATCCTCAGCGACAGACTGTGGCCCCTCGTCAGCCTTCTCCCCCATACCCTCACGAAAGGAGTCCACCAGATTATTAAAATCCACAGGACTCTGATGACAGTACAAAAGTTGGGATCCCGTTAAGGTCATTTCACCCACCACTATAGAGTCCAACACTCTCAACACATCTTCTAGGGCTGGTCGATCATTGGAGCGGCAACGAGGTGGTAGGAAATCCAAAGGGGACTCGATCACAGGGCTGAGGAAGGACAAACTCAACCAGGCGAGCAGAGATGAACAGCACAACAGATAGGGACCATCGGAAGGAGATTAATAAGAGGTAACCCTATCTCGTCTTCAAGACAATTCCACGTCTATAACACCGCGAGTTGAGCCCCGCCCAGTACTTGTCCTCCGCAAGCGTAGACGCCTCCCATACACAGTCCCAATCCTTCTCCTGCATCACTCCCCAATCAACCTCCCTCCCACTCAACTGCCGCCCTTTATCCTCCTTCCCTCGAGCAGTTGACCGAGGACTCTTCCGACGATCATGAGTGGCCATACGTTCAACCCAAGACTTTAATCCCTCCTAGATGACTCCACTTATACTCAACTCCGTATGTGGCCGAGAAACAACGTTTGGCAGTATACAAAGGACGTTCAGTGGACCTTGAGACGACGATGTATCTGAGAGCACCTCTGACCTTCCTCTTCAACATGCAATAGTGCCTACAACCCGCACGCCTTGGTATTTCTTCACATTACTACTCTGCTTGGCCAAAGCACACTGGCAGTCTGTATGGCAGACGTGAACTCGACCCTCCAAGGCCAGGTTGAACTGACAACAATAAAAGCGAAGTAGCGACAGAACAGACAGGCCTCGTCCCCCACAGACTCCAACCGTCCCCTTTAATACCTTTTTCCGCAGCTGCCCCCAAGTCCACTGGTATACGTTGAGCTTATCGCGAGCCATACGGGAGAAGAACCTAAAGGAGCACCATCGAGTACAAGTACTGATACTCTCGACAATACTCATTCTGAAGCTCTTCCTGCTCCTCCTCATCAGCAGCAGTAGGGACCTCCTTTCCGTACTTTTCAGCCAATTTCTTACACACATTCAACTCCTCCTCGTTAACCTGAAGAGATCATTTCCACCAACACCCCCGCTCCCCGAGCACCAGACCTTCGGGAGCGTCCACTCAGCCTTCTGAGGAATAACCTCCGGCAGTTTGTCGTAATACATATCCTTCAAGTTGCAACTGTTCATATTTTGCAGGTAAGTTTTACGCTTATCAAACCTGAATTCAAGCACATTTCTACCCCATCAAGGCAACCCCGTAGTACTACTTCTCTTTGAAGGTGTCGTCCTTGATGGCCTTGGGGTTCTGGTAGAGTAGATTCTTAGGCGTCTTTCCCTTCCGCCTCCCCTTAGCTCGAGCGGCTCTCTTCACTCTGTTAGTCCTCTTGATCTGCATAACGTGAGCAAGCTGAAGAGCATTGTGCCTTATTACCACCACCACAACACAAGTCCACTCGACACTGTATGAAGAAATGACTGTGGCCCATGGCTGCTGTGATATGAGTTGTAATACTTATACTACAGCAGACGATATATGAGTTGACATCTGTACGATTTCTTGAGGACTCTACTAAACTGAATCCGATAGAGGAAAGCCACACGGCAGCGTCTGAAAGAAGTTCCGATTGGAATGGTATGAACATATTTGAGCACGTATACATTCCTTTCTGTGAATGTGGGACCAGAGGTTAACTCCTTCATATTCAACTTTCTTCCCTGTGTAACCTCCCAAACCGGCACCTGTTCAGCTTCCACGTCATCATGATCATCCGAAAACAACATATTCCGCCGCTGCCATGCTACCTGTGACAGCCGCTGCCGGCGTCGACGATTACTCTCATCACCGGCGACGTTACGTTTAAGAATTGATAAAATATCATCACGAACCTGAAATACCATCCGTTGCCATAATCTGATCCGTGCATATGGATATGGTTCCTCGATGACAACAACGGAACCCCTTAAATGTTACCTTTGGATAATATCGAGTACACGCTCTCCTCTACTACTTGTGGTGTACCACAGGTCATCGAGGAAGCATATCCATAGTTTGTCAGTACGGTCGCACATTTGTCTTGCGAGGCCAATGCAAGCACGGTTCCGATTGCGGGTATGCCCACGACTGGAGCGAGCTAAGGCAGGCTCCTGATCTCCGGAAGACCAAAATGTGTCAGCTCGTGGTGCTGACTACGGACTGCACAGAAAAGAATCGCGAGAAAAGCGCATGGATTTCTAATCGATATTCACAAGATCCTCAATGCTTCAACTACTCCCTTATATTATCCTAACAGACATGGAAATGCGATCCCGTATTTTCTATGTATCACCCAGGCTCAGGCGGGAATCTTAAAGTCTCACCAAGACACCCCACTTTGCCCAGTGACGCCTCATCTCGTTAAGGTGCTGTCACTACGACATGGATATTGATATTACGGGAATCATATCAATGAATATGAGAGCAACTACTTCCTATTAGGATAGACTAGTTATAGTTTGTGTGAGCGTGCGACTAGTATCGGGCCCTCTCATTATAGTAAATACCATTATGGCTGATAACACATCATCAGCATCGTCATCATCATCAGCCCAACCTATGGACGGTATCGAGAAGGAGTCCAACGGCCACAAGCCGACAGTGATAGTCGTCATTGGGTAGTGATGTGGCGAAGGAGTGGTAGGACATAGTGGTCATATCTTCAGCATGGCCGGCGCTGGCAAAAGCACTTTCGTCCATCGCCTATACCTTCACTTAACAGCCCAGAAAAAGAGGGTATATTCAGTCAACTTGGACCCAGCCGTACGCAACGTACCGTATCCTACCAATATCGGTACGCCAGCATCGTTAACCTAAGATGATACTTATCGTTTCTTCATCAGATATTAGAGACACTGTCAAGTACAAGGATGTTATGAAGCATTTCGGCCTCGGCCCCAACGGCGCTATCATGACCAGTTTAAATCTGTTCGCAACACGGTAGTGCCTCTATCGCCCTTCACTCGTCCGCTACATAAACCTTTTTAGGTTCGACCAAGCGATGGGGTTGATTGACCAGCGAGCACCGGAGCTCGACTACGTCATAGTAGACACACCTGGTCAAATAGAGGTCTTCAACTGGTCTGCTAGTGGCACTATCATCCTCGACTCCCTCGCCATGGCCTATCCTACTGTTACCTTGTAATGCTACTATCGTTCATGGTGCCCTGCATAGTGGTATTAGGTTCGTATTGGATACAGTACGTTGTACCTCTCCTACTACCTTCATGAGTAATATGCTGTATGTGACTAGTATAATGTAGGGGAGGCATAGCATGGGGTTGGCTGGAAGACTCTACTGCTAGGTACAAGACTAAGCTACCTACAGTCGCCGTCTTCAATAAATGCGATGTGCACCCGTCTGATAGCTGTAGTGATAGGGATGGTTGGAATAGCAGAGGAGAGGTATTGAGTCGTATGCAGGCACGAGATGGATGTCCGATTGGGAGTCGTATATTGATGCTGTACGGAATGATGAACAGAATGGCCCTGATCATGGTGGCGGGTAGTATTACTCATGGGAGGATTAGCTACAGTAGAGGCGTAGTAGTGGTAGTAGTAGTAGTAGTGCTCATGGGTGGACGAGCTACAGTAGAGGCCGTAGTAGTAATGGTAGTAGTACTGCTCATGGGAGGATTAGCTACAGTAGAGACCGTAGTAGTATTGCTCATGGTAAGACTAGCAACAGCTGAGGCCGAAGTAGTAGTGGTAGTAGTAGTATGTACTATCTGTAGAGTAGTCGGTGGTTTTTCTTCTTTCTTCTTTCCCTAGTAATCTCCTTTCCCCGACAGATACATGAGCTCTTTAATGAGGAGTATGGCCATCAACATCAGCGAGTTTTATGAGAATCTCGCTCACGCTTCGGTAGGCCACCTCTAGGCGTGTCTCAAATTCATGTACATCTACCCAGGTGTCATCCCTCACTGGTATAGGCATGGGAGATTGTGAAGCACAGATCATCGCAGCAGCAGAGGAATACGAGGAGTAGGCCAGAGCGGCACTATAGTTGAGCATCTTCTCCTTTCGGATCAGGTCGTATGTCCCTTATCTAGAGGCACGTAAAGCGGCTATCCATAAACACCGTGTGGAGCTGGCCAAGCAACAGTTGAAGGTATTAGACAATCAGGATGCTAAGAGGAAGCAGCAACAGCAGCAGCAGAAGGCGCCCACTGTGGCGGGCGAGGGTAACATACCTCTGCAAGGCATCAGTAGTCGGACATTATCACATACTAGCAATAAAAACACTTTAACACTAATGGGTCGTCGGAATGGTGACTGGATAAAGTTGAAATTGAGTAGTGTGAACATAGCAGGACCTGACTCGTTATCTCGTCGAACCGTTGTGTTATGATGAGATGTAATCCTAATGTCATCAGGCGAAGTCATGTGTATTCTATTGGTAGGTGCTGGGGAGGAGGTCGATGAAGAGGAAGACGCTGAGGATCTGGCCAAGTTCCGTGAGATGTTGGCTCAGCATGCCAATCCGGAGAGGGCTACTGCAAAGGGGATAGCGGAGGAAGATGAGGCCAAGAGGATGCGCAAATAAATGCTCTGTCCAACGTACTTAACAAACCGTTCCTTGTTTCTGGGCTCAGGGATTGTGTTACATGGTTACTATCAATGCTTGCGGTAGGGTGGTAGATGTAATGAGCTCTAGGGCGACATCAGTTTGTTTTGGGAGTCGCCCGTGGTGACGGTAGTAGCCAGTGGATGCATTCACCACTATATATAGTGACTACTACGATGTATCTAGTATTGCCTCTGTCAAGTAGTACTTGAATTTCTCCTAGTGTGGCATGTTCCGGCAATGGGCATGCTAGTGATGTTGTGTGGCCATACCACACTTCCTCCAAATCGGCTTTACCTTCCCTATGAAATAGTTGAGTCAGATCGTCGCCTTTCAAGTTGAGCCCTTGTAATTTAAAAGCATCTAGTAGTATGTCATGGCCTACCATACTTTTCCTGGCTGTATACCTCCTCACTACAGCTCTCTGTGTATATGCTGTTGCTAGGGGTTATGCTGATGCTAAGAAGTGCAGCACTGAGAGGATCATCCACAGCTTTGGTATACCACGCCCTCGGCAAATTCCTTTGAAATCTATGGTCACATTTAGGTGAAGTTCCTAGCGATTGGAAAGCCTTCATTAGACCTAAATCTCTCCGGTCTAATTTCGTGTCAATAATGGTAGGTCTCCCATAGTCCTATAGTCATCGCGGCTTGTGTCAGATCCTAGCTGTAACTGTGGTACCTCTCAAGTTCATTGCCGTTATTTTCATCCACGTGGTTGCCCTTATCGGTCTCTATACCCTCCCTACCCGAATTTTCCTCAAGCTGCTCAGCTACTGCTGTGCCGCGCTGGTCAAGATAACGGGTGCATCCTCAGCCCAAGATTATCTCCTCCCATCTCGCGTCCGTAGGTATCACTGTGAGAGAGGAGGGCACGAGGCTTCCAGCCAACGAGGTCCCTACCATTGTTTCTAATCATGTATCATATTTCGATATACTAGTAAGACTGCTTCGCTCCGCTAGGCGTATTGCCGTTTTCCTTTCGTAGATCATGCTCTCTCGTAGAGTTCCAGTGGCATTCGTCGCCAAGAAGGCCGTAGCAAAATACCCCGTCTCGGGCGATATATGCACCTCATTAGGCAGCGTGTAGGAGGATGGCCACCAGCCTGTCAAGAAGTCATGTACCCATGGTCAGGTACGTGAGTAGAGCTAAGGATCCCAAAGAGAGGGAACGAGTGATGGCTGCTATTGGTGACAAGCAAACTCGTAAGTCTCAGGCATAGCAGGCCTCGGTCGAAGTGGTTTTTGTCGGTCAGGTGTTATGGAGGGCAGGTCTCGTTATCAATTGTGTGTATTTCCCGAAGGAACTACCTCTAATGGTACCTCCCTGATGCATTATCATGATGGTGCCTTTCATAGCATGTTGCCGGTGAGCTAAGCTGCTCCCTACTGTCATTACTACTACTCCAATGACAGGTACAACCGCTGTACATAGAGTATTCCAACCTTAATCTCAGCTTCACCTGCTTGGGCATTATCCCGCATGCATTCTTGGTCCTGGCTCTTCCACCATGGTTGTCTCTGACCTGTACCCTCCACTGGCTACCTAAGGTCACCCCCGATCCCAACTCCTCTGTGGGTGCGTATGCTGAGAAGACCAGACACGCAGTAGCGGCTGCAGGGTGAGTCCGATGCAGTGACAACAACCTCGACCGTGGCGATATTATTGATGATTTCAGGAACCTCCGTCTTGATGACAAAGCTAGCTATAGAAGCCACATGGAGTTGGAGAAGTTTTTCTTTGGTGACAGTGAAAAACTTGTCACCCGGAAAATTCACGATATTGCCGAGGGCGCTAAAGCGAGTAGAAATCATTCGAAAGTGCCTGATGTAGATGCCTAGTTCCCCTCGCTAATTATTTTTTACCTCGAATGACTCGTTACTGTTTGTTGATGGACATATCTCAATAGAGCCCGACTTGCCTAGGGCATCATGCTTCGTTCTGTAGTAGTACCTGTTTCAGAGGCGACAAAGTAGCATTATCTTCTGGACACATTGTATTTGGGTTTTCAATCAGTTCGGACGTCCTATGATCTCACTGAAGTTAGTAGTGCCCTTGGTAGATGCTGTCTCTTCGGCCTACTTTGCGTGTACCAGGACTGGGGAGGATCCTGCAGGCGGCGTCCTTCAGCCGTGTGCCTGCTAGTCGCGTTTTGCAGGAGGCTGAAAATAGATTTCGCGTTTCCAACGACATAGGTAAGGTAACAAAACGTCCCTGGCCCTCTCTCGTTTGCATTAGATGTTCGAGAGCTCGGGGATTCCGTATGGAGCTTCCTACACTACCCAGGAGACCTTCTAGTCATGCAGGGGGTGAGGCCTCTCTAGTGCTCGACCAGCCTGCTATTACTCATTCAGCACGGCATAACACCAGTGTCTACGGTCCTCAAGTCGATAGCTCATGCCAGCCGCATTAGAGACCGGCCCATCGATGTGGTCGTTACGGGAGCACCCGCGGACAGTGAAGGGGCGTTCGGTTAGTCTTCGATCATTCATGGTGGAACGCGTAACGCTACTATCTAGGTGGCCGTAGTAGAGAGCTGTGGATAGCTGCAATAAAACCCGAGGAGGAAGCTGCTCATAATGTGTTGATACCCAAAGAGCCCATCAGAGTCGGTGCCAAGACCCAACCGAGCAGTTTGGCTGGTTTCGTTTCCCATAGGCTCAAGGAGGAGGGCGTTGCACTTCTGCAAGGTGGGAGGTCCCCAGCATTGACCCTGGCCAGGATGGTTTTGGTCAGGTTCTAGTGCGGTGACTATTGCCAAGATGGCTGATGCCATTGCCCTAGCTGGAGCACACTGTAGGACTACAGAGTTTGCTTTACTGATATGCGCTTCTCAGTCGACGGCGAGGAAGGCCGCTCACTAGGCCATCTGGTCTGTCGGCTGCGCACCATCGTAGTAGAAGCCGACGCTACAGCTACTCCAGAGAAGGAGGTTGTGGACCATGCGAGCGAGGATGGCAGTGACCATGGCGAGTCGACCTCATCACGGCCCAACCGCATTAGAGTCATGCAAATACTAGTGCGCCTGAAGGAGGGGCCCGTTGGAGGTTGTCTACCAGCAGAGGCCCAGACCGGCGGCGGCAGCGAGGAGGAAGGGGCTGAGGTTACGATAGACAGCATCGATAAGGCTGAGGGGGATGATGATACCGTCACGAGGTCGGCACACTGACATGAGTTGTGTTTCTGAGCAAACAGATGTTCTTCTTGTTGTGGTGGGAGCTCTAGCTGGAATTTCGAGGAGCCCTTCCGTGGTCAGGACCTACGACCTCATGATTGCTTATCGCGAATGCTCCCCTGTCTCGATATCCTCGGTCCGGTGCAGTTACCATATACTCGGCTACTGGACCTACTAGGCCCGTCTATTGCTTCCCCTACCTCATAGAAGGCCGAGACCCATAGGCCTAATGGATTCCTAGTGACACCCATCCTCGGCATCCCAGATACCGTGGACATCGGAGTGCGTGATCAACCGGTGGTAGGCGCTTGGCCTGCTGCGAAAGGTCCTTACTGTGAAGGTGGTAGTGGTTAAGAGCTTTATAGAGGTCAACGGCTATCCATCGATCATCGTTCAGGTGAGTGGAATTGTTTATCTCAGTATCATACACTTCACAATCCTCTTTTTCGGCAGAGCTAGTATCACTTTCAGCATACAGGCCGAGGCTGACTCATGCTGTTGTACGAAAAGTATTGCATTAATAAACGGCATTGATCAATTCAATACTCTTCGAGTTGGAAACGATGACCTTTATCGCTCAAACCAAGCTTTGCAGGTGGTAATTCTGTTTTGTACATTACAGTCTTGTGTTCCCTTTGAAACGCGTTACTCTCAGGTGCATTTACCATTGGTAAATTACCAAGACGGTGCAGCCCTCATTAATGGCGTCTTCGAATCGCGCAAGCAGCTATTCGTGTCTATCATGGTTCTCAATGGTCAATGGTAATCAATGATATCCCGATGAAACTTTCATCATGAAGCCTTGTCGTCAGCTTTGCTATTCTGCGCTAGTAATCGGCATAATTATCACGTTAGGTCGAAACTGTGTATCCACCGAAATACCGCCGTAACCACGTCTTATTCCAGGAAGCCTTACGCTTTCATATGGATCTTTGGTAGGGTAATGTTTATTCCGAAGAATTCCATCTCGTGTTGCAGGTGCTGTGGCTTTCCGTCCCGATAAAGATGCCACCGACCAGCTTGTGCGTGCTACCGCCTAAGGTTCATCAAAGTCTATGATTCATAAAGAGCACGAGCCGATTCATCGGTTTGTTAGACGATGCTCATGTCTCGCACAAGGAAGATGGTACCAGCATATTGCTAGAGCTTGTTAGACGATGCTCATGACTCGCACAAGAAAGATGGTACCAGCATATTGCTAGAGGAGACACAGTGATGATGATTTCCCAACTACGAGATGTTCTTTCCGAAAGTGTTACATCGTTTTGCAGTTCGGAGTCGTTATTATGATCATTCAGCTAGTCTTGTCAAGACTGTCTTGATAATTTTGACAAGAGTGATAGACTATCATTACTAAGAGACTAAGTCTCTTAGTAATATTATTATAATAAGTGACATACTATTACTATTATCGAGAATAAGTCTCGATAATAATAATAATAGAAGTGACAGTCTTGATAGTCTCGATGATAGTCTTCATGATAGTCTTCATGGTCGTCTCGATGATAGTCTCGATAATAGTTTTCATGATAGTCTCGATGATAGTCTCCAATGGAAACTCCATCTCGCACCTGCTATCTACTGCTATCGCGAGCGGCTTCAGATGGGATCGGTTGGGGAGACCCGACTCTGTTTGATTAGAACAGCGTGCAGAGGGTTGGGACGTCCAACCACACGAAGCCAACGCCTCCAACGGGATTAGTGCGGATCTCCATCGGACAGGGCTATATGGTTCGGTTACAGGGTAATACCCTGGCTTAGCCAGGGTATACCCTC